ATGACACTGGAAACAAAACACTGTGACTTCAGGCTATCTTAATAGCTACATTGGGCTTGGAAAGGATAGCAGAGAGGCCAGCGAAGCTATTGCAGAAGACATGGCAGGATGTCAAAGGCCATTTTGGGATTGAATTGGATAGCAGTAGGTGAACCTATATTAGTAGATGACTCATCTGTACCAATAACTGATGAAAGTAATGATAAAATTACAACCTGTGTGGCAGTAGTCTGCTGTTACATGGAGATTATGCTGGCCTCTGGTGCTGTTTCTCAGCTGTGTGTGTGTGTCAAAATGCTGAATTACGATGGAAGAGGTGAGCTGGACTTGAGGTCGCACACAAGTCACTTCTTTCACAAAGGAAAGCTGCTTGGAGCTTTGCACTTGAAGGCAGAAATGAATGTAGTGTGAAAATCAATAATGCATTTTGGCTCGAGTTTTATGTGTAATACTGATACTACAGTCACTTAATGATGAGGAAAGTGTGGCTGTGTGTAAATTCAAGGGTTATTAACACAGCTGAAATGTAAAAGGAGAAAAAGGCATACAGTTGTTAATGAAATGATAGTGGGAAGAAGTGTAGGAGTAATATGAGGACAGGAGAAGGCCATATTGAATTTTTGAATAGTTCAAAAATTGAGGTGACATGAAGTTTCTTTTATGTGGAGGAATCCAGGGAGAGTTGCTGGTTAATTCACAGCAGGGGCTGTTTATTGTACAGTGGCCTGAATGAGGCAGAGTTCTTGACCCTTGAAGAGTGGACTGAGTTTTGAAAGAAATAGTTTTCCTTAAGAAATATTGGTGTTCCATTTATTTTTGAAAATGAGAAAACTCATTGCGTTCATTTAAACCATTTCCAGTTTTTCTTAGTTTAAGAAGCATAGCATTAAAAGTAGAGCTGTCATGTTCAGGATATTTTTTTGCAGTTGGATTTCCTGTTGGTAACTGCTGCTGTTCTTGACTCTCTCTGTAGAAAGTTTAAAGCTATTCTCAGATGAGCCATTACCTTTTATTTTTTTTTTTTTGTTATCCACAGTCCATTCCAATTTTACTTATATAGGGGGTGCATTTACTACCTGCTGTTTCTGTGTTTAGAAGCATCTGTGGATGTACACTGTAAAGGTGAACTAGAGTTCTAGACAGTCTGCTACACTTGCCCTGATTTCTGTTCTTCTGGAAGTCTGTTGTGCCCTTGAGGCTCCTGACTGGGGATGAGGATGGGAGGAGTGATCATAACAGCATCACAGCATCACACGTGCTCATGCTTTCATTGGTGATTCTGATCAGTTTGAGTGTTTAATTAGCACCTCCATGGGCACTTCAGTGTTATTTAAAATATTTCTAGAGGTCACCCATTTGAATTCAGTAATGGAATACGAAGTGAATTCTTACACTGCAGACACTGGCTGTGATGTAGAGGTTAATCTGCTTTGCTTTCTTGTCAGCCTTCTTGTACAACATTTTGTTGCTGTAAACATTAGGCTTGGCTCTTCTCCATCTTCTCTGTTAAAATATCATATTTTTTCTTTCATGTGTTTCAGAAAGATAAAAACTGGATAAAATACAGATGTTTTAAGGGACAAAGGATAAAGGCGACTATTGAGGTGTTCCTTGTCAGTGTAGCCTTGCACGCAACAAAGTGCAGAATGCTTCACTTTGCTGAGCGGCTAACGCAAATGGGAGTTGTGCTAATAGCTCGCTGTTTTGGATCTGGCTCCCATTTAAAACAGAAAGTGCAAACATTAATAATGCTCTTATTTCTTATATACCCTTCTGCTTCCAGGCTTCTCTGACTTGTTAAACCCTTGCCCTTTAGGGATCCAAGCTGAAACAAAGCTGGAATACTTTGTGAACAAAATCCAAGTAATTGCCTTCAATTTTTGTTTGGGAGCCCAGTGGGATTCACCTGAAATGAAAATTAGTGCAGTCTGGGAAAGGTCTAGTGTCTTACAGTGGATTTCTCGAGTAGTTTAAAATTCACACTTTTAAAGTGCCGTGGTTAGACAAAGAGTACTGCTGTACCCAGTTCTAGAACAAACTTTGTCATTAAAGCAGATTTCTTGTGTGTGTTCTCCTTTGTTCTTCAGATCAGAGGAAAAGCCTGTAGCTTTTAAGTGCTGATTCCTGTGATGATGCAGTACACCAGGAGTATGCTACAGTGATCAATTTGCAAATTAATTTTCCCCTTTGCTTCTAACAGTTAATATGGAGTTTGTAAGAAATTTGTGTAATGTATGTCTGCTTGACAAAATGGATATTGCCAAAGCATTTTACAGATGTTACCATCAATGGTAATATGTCTTGTTTGTGGTTATGTTTGACTTTGATGAGATTTTTGAAGCATTCTTGCCGTTTCTTTCCAGTGTTTTTATCTGAGAGATATTTGTAATCTGGTACTTGACAATAGGAGTGTCTAGTTTTTGCTTGAGAACCTCATCCTAACATTGACATTGGGGAGAGGTGTCAAAAAGTAAGTAAAGAAGATGCATAGACCTCTTTCGTTGTGGAAAGCATTAAAGAAATAAAACATACCTATTTAAATGCAAAATATGAATAACTTAGTTTTTTTCACTTTATTCCCACCTTTTTCAACCCCACCCCCTGCTGTGGGAGAAGCAATTAACCATATGAAGTAATGGATAGGAGTTATAGCTGTATGTATATGCCACTGGCACATTCCAGTTGTGTCATCAGTGGAATGCCAAAGACATGCATGTTGAATCAATGACTGCAGCTTTTTGTGGCAGTCCTTAAGTTGAGGATGAGTAAGGACATGTGAAAAAAAAAAAAACCTGGAATCCTGGAGAATTGCATACTTGGGCATAACACTGCATCTTTATCTACATTTTTCTACTTGTGTTGCTCAAGCTGTTAGCAAGTTGGGTGAACAGTATGTACAGGTTCCACTTTACCAGTGTAAAAAGACTATCTCGTTTTGTTTCTTGGGGACTCTCTACTTCCAGAAAACTCTTTGCAGAGGACTCAACAACTTTGTGGATCTGCTGTTTAGAAGTAATGTTATAAAACTAAAGATCTTGATTTTCAGGCAAAACAGAGGCTTCTTACCAGAGCACAAATCCTATGACAAAGTTAGTTCTCTGTTCTCAGTTGTTTTTTGAGGGTGCAGTGACTAATGGGCTAATGTGGCAATATTAGCATTTCAGGAAACAGGTGCTTAGTTAGTATATGTGATTTTTTGAATATGATTTTTAATCACATGTTCAGTCAAAATCTTACATCTTATTTTTGAACATAGACTTGATTGGGAAAAAAAGAGAAAGTCTTTTGAATTGTCTCTTTGCATCAACTTGATGGTTTCATGAGTCAGTTGCTTGAGTAGTGTGATTGTCCCACTTCTACATGGTTTTCAGAGATGACTGGATCCCGTGATCTCTAGAGGTCCCTTCCAATCCCTGCAATTCTGAGACTGAGGATTTAAACATTGACATGTCGGCTAAGATCATCCTCTGTAGTCTGTTATTCTGTTTTGTGGCAGAGTGTGAAAATAAGCAAAAAGGAAAGGCATTATTACATGCTTGACCTCTTAATATTCTCCACTAAATATTCTCTCATTCGAATATTCTCTGCTGCTTCTTTGCTACTCAGAGGCTTCCAGAAATAGTTTCTTCCTACTTAATAACTCCAAGAGTTCTCTTTTCTGTGAGCTTCTGCAGTCTCTCCTCGAAAAAGCAAAAGTTTTGATGTTACAGAATCACTCAGGTTGGAAAAAACGTTAATGATCATTGTGTCCAACTACAACCTAACCATACTACCCTAACCCTAACAACCTTCCACTAAGGCATGTCCCTGAGCACCACATCCAACTGGTTTTTGAACACATCCAGAGATGGTGACTCAACCACCTCCCTGGGGAGTCTATTCCAGTGCTTAACAACCCTTTCTGTAAATAAGTGTTTCCTGATATCCAATCTAAACTTACCCTGATACAACTTGAGGTCATTTCCTCCCATCCTGTCACCTGTTACCAGTGAGAAGAGACCAGCCCTTGCTGTATGTAAGAGACCACTCTTGCTGTATGCAACTTTCAGATACTGGAAGAGAGCAGTAAGGTCTGCCCTCAGCCTCCTCTTCCCCAGACTGAACAGCCCCAGTTCCTTCAGTCTCTCCCTCAGTAGGGCATATTCTCCAAGCCCTTCATTAACCCTTCTTAAGATCTTAATCATTTGACAAAGAGTTTCATAGTTCAGTCATTTTTGCATGAAATAACATTATCATTTTTGGAACAGCTTCCCATTTCCATCTGTTGCCTTACTCTGGAAGAGGCAGCAGTGATTGTTGATATTCCCCTTCTTTCCTGATAATGATGCCGTCTTCTGAAAATGTGTGATTCACACAACAAAATGCCTGTAATAATTCAGCCTTTTAAAGTATTGAGAGTAGTCTTCAAAGACAAGGGGATCCATCTGTGTAGAATTTTTGATGTAACCTAATCAGTTACCGCAGTTGATCAGAAGAGATGAAACTTTAACTGTTCTCATGTTAGCCTTAGAGGATCGTGGCTTATCATAGCTCTTCAAAACAAAAGTATGAAATGAGTTGAATCAAGCTTTGGATTAATAGCAATAGTTAAAAAGGACAACCTTTAGAAATATATGTATTATTATTTTCTTTTAATTGTGGCTAGCATTCAGAATTCAGATCTGTTTGGTTCAGTCCCACCATTCTGAGTGTTTGCATCTGTTGTTTCATTGATCACGTTTCAAAGTTGGAAAAAATTGATTATGAAAATGTTGGGAAAAAAAAGTATTTGCATAAGAAAAGTTTAGCATGTGGAAGAGCATCATTGAGGGGTGGCAGGTGAGTACTGAATCTGCTTTGATGAAATTGCCTGTGGTCATGACTAGTGATAGAACAAATGTTTGAAAATGGTGAATGCCTGTGGAAATACAGCTAAGAACTTTATCTTATAGTAGACTGCCTATTACGTTGCCTCATTTGCAACGCCTAATGTTTTAACACACTCTCTCTTAACTTCACAGGCAAGTATTTGCTTCCCAATGCAAATGGACATCAGCTATGGCAACCTGCAGAAACCACCAATCTTGTTCGCATGCGCTGCCAAGCACTTGGGCAGTCAGCACCTTCACTTACTGTTAGTTCGGTGAGTAATTTTTTTTTAAAGCTATGAGCTTACAAACAAAAAAATATTTCTTGCATCTCTGTAATGTCAGAATCTGCGAGGGGATGGCGATCCAACCAGAGTTTATGTCCAGGTTAACCTCTTTTCCTTAAACTGAATCTTTCCATTAACTAATGCATTCCTGCGTATAGCACTGCTTAGTATGTTGAGTGTGGCTAAACAATGTTTATAATAGCAGAAACTGAACTGCTTTGCTGGATTTAGCATAAAATCTAGTTGCATTTAATGCAACTGTATTATATAGCTATTTGCATTTAAATGGTTTCTTCCCTTAAAAATAGAAAGAAGGCATGCTTTTTTAGATGACAATAGATGGTAACTGTCCTTTCTCCTGGGCATTATTTTCCATCAGTTTATTTGTTTCTGCTTTCTGCAGGACTGTGTCCTCAGGAGAAAGTGATAATATGAAGCATGAACTTAATTAAGCCTTTTGGATAAAATAATAAGGGGAGAGAAAGGGGAAGATATACCTCCTACATTTGAACTTCAGACTTTTTGTGTTCAAGTGTCAATTATCCTCTTCATGCTTCTGCTTAAGATCTTAAAAAGTGTTAAAATTCAGTGCAACACACCATACTTAACCCATGTTTTTCTTTGAACTCTAGTTCACTCTAGTGAACGTATTTTGTGTTGTATAAGAAAGCAAAAGTATGTTATTAATAATTGCTCTCATCTGTTCTTTGGCTGATTACGAAAACTTTTTTTTCATATCTACTTGAGAGGAGAAACTTTTTTTTTTTCCATAAGGAAAACTTGTGGGTCAAAGATGACTATGAGCAGACAATGCTACACAGGTACCATTGTGCTGATTTTTAGGATTATACTGATATGTACATGGCTGGTTTATCCACAAAGCTACCTGAAATAATGTTTCAAGAACAACAAATCAGCACTTACGGGTATAATTATGATTCGTACTTGATGCTGCTGCTTATTATCTCTGGCTCTTTGGAATGGATGTGATGTATTGTATTGTGAAAGCTAGAAAAAGAATAAAACCACCCTTCACAAATAGCTGTCCTTCCCTAATAAGCGGTGAGGTCATGCTAAGCCTGAGTACACAAGTGTTTGCTGCTTTTCAGCATGCTTTTTACCTCTTCTCTTTTTCTAAAAGAGGCAGACAGAAAAACAACACCCAAGTTATTGCTGACTTACACAAAACAATGTTAAGTCTGAATTTGCAAGCATCTGTACTTTAGTGTATTTGATTTTTGTTGTCGCTTTATGAGTGTGAATTTTTAAGAATGGTCTTATGGAACTTGGAGGGTAGTTACTATATAAAGGACTTTTTTATATGGAGTGTTACCAAAAGGAAACAAAATAAGAAATGTTCAGTATCTGTGGAAGGCTGTTTTACTTCTGAAAGGGCCTTGCCTCCTACTTTCTTTTAAATAGTATAATACTGAAAATATGTGTCTCTGTTAAATATGCCATTAACTTCAGCTAAATTGACATAATGTTGACAGTTATTATGAGAACTGTTTCAAAACTAATTATGCTAATTAGAATGTAACTACCAGTAATTGCATGTATTCAAACAGCACACCAACACCCTTTTGTGTGGCTTATTCCCCAGATGCAAAGCAGACATTTGTTCCTTGAGAAGCTGCAAAATTATAGCTTAGGTAATAAATGATTGAAAACAAATAAAATACATCCTTTAGAAACACTAATTGGTTAGACAGTATCAATTGTGCTTGAGCAAATGACATAATTTAAAAAAGAATCTTTATTTCATTGAAGAATTGTAGTGAATTCTTCAAATCATTAATTGCATGGGTATTTAGTATTTAGTTTTATCTATTGAATTTGAAGAGTAGCTGATTTTGTTTTAAAATAAAATTATTAGAGAGCAACAAAAACCTGTGTCTGAAATTTAGGTTACTTTAAATTTTAGCTCTTTCTGCCCAGGAATTCAGGTCTTCAGTGCTTGGTTATGTATGTGAGCAGCTATTTAATATTCTAAAAGTTAATAATCAAATCCAAGGACTGCACTTGTAAGAAACTCAAATAAGATATAATAGAAATCTCTTAAGTTGCTAATCTTAAGTCTATCTCTTATCTGAAATCTCCCCAGCATAGTTAAGTAAGTACTTTTTAGAAGTATGAAGTCTGAATTGAGGAAGTTGTTTGAATGCTATGCTGTTGTATAGATCTGAATACCATGTTCTTGTTTGGCTTAAAAAACAACTTGACATCAGAGTCTAATCACAGAATCTTTTTAGAATGGAAAGTATTTATTCCTATGAAATGCTAAAACTGCCAAGTTATTATACCCAGATTTCTCTACATCAGTTGCCTCTAGCATTTAAGACTAGAGAGTTGTTCCCCCCTGTGTATTTCATTTCAGCTATAACTTGCCCATGAATATGTATATTTCTTTATCAGTATTTGCCTTCTAACAAATTCTTAATTGCAGTTCTAATTCAGTAGTTAGTCCTAATTTGGTGGCAAAGGAGGAGACTCAACATCCATCTTTGTAAACACTTCTATATATTGAGTATTTGTACACGGAGAAAGGCTGGAGCAGATGTGATCCAGAGCCATAAGACTGCTGACAAATGAATGCATGAATTTGTCGATAGGGTGTCCTGTTCCACACAGATGTCTCTTATTTGTCTACATTGTTTAGTATTTGAAATATTCGCTGCTCATTTCAGTGAAAAACGTATTTGTAGAGTCAACTGCTTGACAGAACTCTAAAATGTTTGATTCCTTTCCTAGATTCCTTCACTAGAATGGGCACAATTCATTCTGATGCTATTCTTGCTCATACTCAAAAACAGAGGTGGTGACCACCAGTGTTAAACTACCTCCTATAAACTGTTCTAGATTTCATGGAACTAAGAAGACCTCTAAAGCTACACAGTACCATTGTGTAGGACTAGTAAATAAATGATAACCTCTTATACAAGCCTGACCTAGTTTAAAATGTCTTCTAACCAATAGAAAATGTAACTTACAAGCATGCCCTCTTTGTGTGGAAATGGGTCTTCTCCCATTAGCTTCTAAGCTTCCAGTTAATAGAATGTATTTGAGCTTAGGCTGGAGCTGAAATATGTTACTCCAAGTAGTTTGGACACTTTATTAGAGATGAAGGTAGATTTAGTCCTTTTCTGTACTATATTAGAATGTTGAAATCCAGTAGAGATGAAATGTGTATAGGAACAAGCAGTGCATCCCTATTTTGCACGTGAATGCCATGCTACTATTCTGTAGGCATAATGACCTTTCTCCGTCATGGGAGGCTTTCCCCAAACTGTGCGAAGGCTCACTGGGACTACTTTTTCCTGCCAGATAATGAAAAACCTGGGTCTTTTAAAATGATCTTCCATAGCATACAGTGTCAGCTGAGCATGCTTTATGCTTTTGGATTTTTGTTTGATACGTGGGACCCCCACAGTGGAAATCATTAAGCTAAAACATAGTGCCTTGCCCCTAGAAGTAGTTCTTGTTACTGTGCCTTAGCATAATGCTCTCAATAAAGGCTTATTCTTGTTTGTTCTGACAGTTGAGTTATAATTATCTCTTAGAAAAGAAAAAAAATCCAACCCACCCTCCCCCCCCCCCAAAAAAACAAAAAACAAAAAAAAAAAAAAAACAAGCAGGAAAAAAAACGAACAGTGGAAAGTATAGCAAAGTCACATCATTAACTTGTATGCTGGTAAGAAATGAGAGTATAGATGGTTTGCCAATAAACTATATAGCCAGAAGAAATTGATGTGTAATCAATTACACTATTTGATATTTGGATGACTTTTTGGAAATAAAGTGTTTTTCAGCTTGTTTTTAGAGGATAACTGGGAATATAATGATGGTACTTTTTGTAGCCCTTAAGGGGTTTTACTGGAGTGGAGGAGATAGTAAACAGGATAAAAAGAATATGGGGAGTGGAGACTGGAAAAGTAACTGGAACTGGGATGGATGTAAATAAATTCAGTTACAGTGCTGTCTCCCAGTCCCCATCACCAAAACCAGCAGAAAACTGTCTAGTGTAGCTGCTCGTCCAGTAACTTATGATAGTTAAAACACTGATTCATGAATACATTCTCTTTTGCTTGAAAAGTATGTGCTGGTATACAGATTTGCTGTTGATGTTCTGATTTCTGTTCTCCAAGCACTTGATAAAATTTAAAACTAATTACAGCTCTGGATTTAAAATGAATGACAGAGTAGGTGCTGGGAAATAAGAACTTAGGCAAATCTTGGTGTGTTGGGTAGTGGTTACACTTCCATTGGCACTCAGGATCTCAAAGTTAACGGAAAGATATTGATAACCTTAGATGTGGGTGCTCCCTGTGATGACTGTGGGAGCAGCAGTAGGTTAGCTAGAGTTCTCATGTGAACTCACAACCTCTCTTCTACTGTTCTTAGTAGTCATAGGAATTTGGTACCTCAGTTTTAATTGAGGCATATATTGTCAAGAAACTTAAACCAGAGAATTGTAGAATTTTCTTCTTGATGCTACTCGAGAGTAATTATTACTGAAGGAAACTGGGTTTCTGCTGTGGCATTTGCAGTTAACAGAAATGGAAATACTGAAACTCTTTCTGAGCTTTCTCTTGAAGTTTGACCTGAAATGGTGAACTTCGCTTGCAAGCTGATGAGGTGTATATCATTGTGCTCAATTTTATTTGTGGAGCAGTATCCTCGGATTGAGGGATAATTAAGTGTGGCAAGCTTTTTAACTGATTTAGTAACATTTGTGTTTTCTTCTCAGTCAATCAACATGTTTTTATGCCTGTGGTACTTGCAGAGTGATTGTAAGGTAGCAGCGGATGTAAGCAGACAGTGTGGGAACAGTAACTCATCTTCAGACTGAAGTTCTCCTGTGGTTCTGATGATGGCAATAACTCTCAAAACAAAGAAGCTCATACAGAGGCACAGCTGACTTGCAGACACTGGGGTGGGAGGGAAGATACAATTCATCCACTCTGGTAGGAATGGAAATTCCTCGTCTGATTTTGCTTACAGAGGTGTATAGGATTTTTCTGCAGGCATTTTTCAGCTTGAGAATATACTGCAGAGCCTTCTGCTGTGTTTAGTATGACTCCAACTTCTCGTGTCCTAAGTTTCTAGGCTTAACAAGGAGATACAACTTTACTAAGTTGTAAGTGGGCTGATTGCTGCAGGTTGGGCTTTGTGTATCCGGCTGGATATTTGTATTTCTGGTTTTAGTTGGACTTCTTAAAACGTTCATGAAGTCGGACATCTTGCTGTAAATTAACTTTTTCTCTTGAAAGTGGATAGGAATGTGGACTTGGTTATTTGCTGTGCGAAAGATGAGCAGCTACTGGTTTACTGGACCTGCTGATGTTTGTGTAAGACCTCAAACAGTCTGACACAGTAGCCACTTAAATTGTTCTACGGCCACTGTGTTTGTTTCACTCTTTGTACAGTCACAGTGGGCTATGATTTTAGAGACAACTGTTTTCATCTCAGTAATGCTAGGAAATGTTCTGCTTGTTGTTTTTTTTTTTCTTGTTTGTTTGTTTTTTCCCCTCTGAGCACAGTATGTCCTGGTACACCATGGTAATTTGTGTGCCTGTATTCAGATGCACCATGTTTTTTTTTAGTGTAGCAGTACTAAGAGCATTGCATCCATTAAGATTTTTCTTCTGTTGTATTGCGGAAATGAAGGAACCTAGAAAAGCACAAAATTGACTTAAGTGTCATTTGAGTAAACAATGTAATAAGCAACAGGGGATTGGTTAACTGCTGCTCTCATGAATGCATTTAACCTCTTGATCACTGCTGAATGTCTGCAATTATGTGGTGCAGTGGAAAATAGGATGTGGTCGGTTAAGTTCAGAAATGATGATTGGCTTTGTAGCGAATAGAAAAACTTCACAACAACATATAGCTAAGAGTGGAAGTAAGGACTGGTCACGGTTTCCTCATTTTGTGTTAGGTTATCTTTTAAAAAAATGGGTGAGAGTTGGTAGTAAGAAACAAAGTTGAAT